CCTTGGTACTGCTTCGTCTGTCAAGTCCACCTGGGCCGCCGCGACTGTTCTGCACGTTGCAGCTCCTGCAATGGTTGGTGCCATCTTCGCTGCAGTGGCCTCGCCAATTCTAACGATTGGTCGTCCACCTTCACTTGTCCCAGTTTCTCCGTGCCTCTAACCGTCCCTATGCCTCCTGCCCTTTCTGTCTGTCATGCAAATGTCCAAGTCTTTGACATGGCCACGCCGCCTGGCCTTAAGCTTCTACAGTTTAACGCTAACGGCCTACTCGGCAAGCTTGACCAGCTCCTCGCATTCATGCGTTCGCACAACATAGCTGTAGCGGCTATCCAAGCGATGAAGTGGTCTGACTCCATCGAGGTCCCTTCGTGTGCAGACTAAAAGATCGGCCGTCGCGACCGCGGTCGCAACAAAGGTGGAGGGTTGGCCTTCCTGTTGGACAAATCTCTTGCCCATCATCAGCTACCGCTGCTTGGTGCCGACCCTATGGAAGTATTGGCCATTTCCCTTGACATAAGCCCGGCGCCGCTAACCATCGTGAACGTTTACATCCCTCCAACTTTCAGTTGTCCTCCCGGTTTTACCGCCTCTATCGCCCCCTGCTTACCTTCTGAAGACAGTTTGGTGCTAGGTGACTTCAACGCCCTAACTTGGCGGCCGATCCCCGGGGAAAAGCCCTGGACGATGAATTAGAACAGGTCCCCTTCGCCGTCCTCAACGGGAACAGCCAAACGCGGCTCTCGACCAACGGTGCCTCCAGCTCGTTTGATGTTTCCCTCGCCAGTCTCAGCCTGGTAGCCTCAACCATGTGGAGCACAGAAATCAGCCTTGTTAGCGATCACCTCCCCATATTGCTCGAACTGGCCACTGCCGACGACCGTATCAAGGCCCCAAGTAGGCACTTCATCAACTTCAAGCGAGCCGATTGGACAGCGTTTACCGCCGAATACGAAGCCGAGATCGATGGCCTACCACCTCCCACACGGCGGAGCGAGCCCTTCGTCGACTTCTTCTGGCAGCAGCAAGTCACCACATCCCGGACGGCCGCATTCTTCTACTTCGTCCTAACTATCCGCCTGAAACGCGAGAGACATGATATACGAGCACGCGATGCCAATGACCCGCATATCGTAGGGCTGAACGGCTTGATCACCAAGACCATCAACGACGGCAAACGCCGATGCTGTCACGAATTAATTGCAGATTGCAGTTTCCGCGGCAACTCAGCTGTCACTTGGAAAATGTCTATGCAACCTGACCAAGCCCCGGGCTGATACATCTAACCAGTCTATTAGCTTCGGGGATGGCGATTTCATTTCGAACAACGGTACGACCGCCGCAAAGACGAACAAGTGGTTCTCGCCCCGCTAGTTGTCCAGTCCCAAAAGTCAGCGCTCACTTCTTCGTCTTCTTCATAAAGCCCCGCCCCCGACATTTCCTTTTCGACCGAGGTCATCCTCATCGCCGTCAAGAAAACGAGAGCTTCGAAAGCCTTAGGACCAGATGACCTAGCGCCTATCCATTTGCACCACATCGGCCCTAAGGTGGCCGCCTACCTTGCTGTACTCTTCACTGTCCTTTCGCTGGCTCATTCAATCATCCCCGACTGCTGGCGCCAAACAGTCATAATCCCTCTGGTAAAAGCGGGCAAGGACCCCAGCCTAGCGACTTCTTATCGCCCAATTGCTCTCCTCAGTCCATTGGCGAAGATCCTGGAACGGC